GGCTGCCCCAACCTATAAGAAACTAAGAACATTCAAGGCAAGGTGGACACATTGTAGATCCTCTAGGACCTAACCAAGTCATTCTCAACCAAGGTTCCATGGTAACCTAGGGTTTCTCCAGAGGTTTCCAGAGGCTCCTTGAGGTGTGGCTGACTAACCTCCCATCTGATGATGCCTCCATAGTTCTGGTGCCATCACCACTTGGCAAGCTTCTAGGACCTAACCCAGTCAATCAGTCATTCTCCACCAGGTTTCCATGATACCCTAGAGTTCCTCCAGAGGTTGCCAGAGGCTCCTTGAGCTGTGGCTGATTGACCTTCCATTTGATGATGCCTCCATAGTTCTGAGGCCAACACCACTTAGATCCTAGAGGTTGCAGAGGTTGTCAAGTGGTGTTGGCCCCAGAACTATAGAGGCATCCTCAAATGGGAAGTAAAATCGGTCACAGCTCAAGGAGCCCCTGGCAACCTCTAGAGGAGCTCTAGGGTACCATGGAAAACTAGTTATGAACGACTGGGTTAGGTCCTAGATGTTGCCAAGTGGTGTTGGCCCCAGAACTACGGAGGCATTATCAGATGGGAGGTCAGTCAGCTGTGGTTCAAGGAGCCCCTGGCAACCTCTGAAGGAACTCTAAGATACCAAGGAACTCTGGTTGAGAATGACTGTGCTAGGTCCTAGAGGTTGCAACGCAGTCATTTTCAACCAGGGTCCCATGGTATCTTAGAGTTCCTCCAGAGGTTGCCAGGGGCTCCTTGAACTGTGGCTTGACTGACCTCCCATTTAATGATGCCTTCATATTTCTGGGGCCAACACTACTTGGCAAAACCAGCAACATGATATCAATCGATATTTTTAGCTGTCTTTAAGGGTGGCACTATGACCACCGTTCTACGCACTGCATTCTTCCTATCGACTAGCAATGTAAGGGGAAATTTTCCATTGGCCCCCGCGATGAATTGGTTATTGGTTTTAGCACGGATTCCCTGGGAACCTGAAAACTATTTTAGGGGTTCCTCTGGGGTAAAAATGGATGAAAAAAGGCTGATCTAGCCTATAAAGAAAATGTTGGAAAAAGGCAAGGTGGACACATTATAGGCCACAAGCTCTGAAATATTAGTATTGACCAGAAAATCGTATAAATGGCAAGAAGACATCAATGATCACTAAACAGCAGATAGGAATATGAATGTGGGGTGAAGGATGTCCCCAGGGTTTCATTACAGGCTCAGCAGTTTGCTTTGTATTATCATTTGTGTCAATATTGATGTTCGTACAGGAAGAATTTTAGGAAGAAGAAACCCACCATAGAAAGACACAACTCATTCTGAGAAGGAACATCTGTAATACAGATAAATTCTCATCATCTGTGAAATCCTTGAGGAATCAAAGACAGAGGGGCAAGATCTGCCCACCTCAAGCTTTTATCCCCGAGGAACCTTTGGAATAAATGTTCAAGTCTCATGGACCCCCTGCTAAAAAATAGTTCTACATAAAGCTCAGTGTGATCAATAGATTGTAGTGAGGTTCCAATAAAAGGATAAACAATGGCGTGCCTGCCGTATTTGACTCCCAGAGCAGATGGTTTTTGAAAACCCACCTGCTCTGTCAACTAAAATGTTTCAATATTAATCTTGAAATTTTATATACAACATAGAAGAGACCCTCTTAGTGGGAAATTGCCTCCTTGCATGGGTGGACAGTGTAGGTGGGAGATCAATTTGCTCTCTGCTCGAGGAACCCTGAGCAAACTCAGGAGGAACCCTGGTTGAGAAAGGCTAAGATAGGCCAAGAAAAGACGAAATTCCAATCTTTCCGGACTGAACCAAAAGCATAAAACCTTTGGCTGGAGGCCCATTTGTCATTTACAACTGGATGCCAACCCACAAACTGTGTAGGCAGTCACAGAACAGCCATTACCCCCACGATAAAACACCCGAACGTGAGATGAAAGGGTAGGACGGGCATTAATGGAAGGGCTGGGCGTAGTACCAAGACGGCTCCTTCGCCACGGGGCACACATCAATGCATGGCGCGTCCAGCTACATGGAAACAGCAGCAACTCACAACTGTACTGATGAATCACAGCAGAGAGACACACAAGGTGCTTTCATGATCCAACATCACGGAGAGTATCACAGAGAGTGTGACTTCGATGGAGAACACTGGACACACAATGCAAATGTCAATCGAGATGCAAAGTATGACATTCCGATGCAGAAGAACAGCACGGCTTCCATTGATGACAGAATACAAACTTCTCTGATCGCTGCATGGCAACTACGTGACATCTCAGGACAGCCGTACTGTATGCTTTCCTTCATTGACAGGGTTCAAGGGGCAAGTGTGGAGGATAAAACTGTACAATGGTCTATAGAACCTCAGGATGCAACATTCAATGTGTGCTAAAGATACCCAGTGCAACTTCCAATGACCTACCGGATGCACACTACGACCTCCAATGACCTATAGGATGCACAATGTAACCTCCAGAATGTAAACTATGACCTCCAGTGACCTGCAGAATGCACATCTGGACCACCTGTGACCGGCAGGATGCACACTATGACTGCCAGTGACCTGCAGGATGCGCACTATGACCTCCAGTGACCAGCAGGGTGGACACTATGAGCTCCAGTGACCGGCAGGATGGACACTATGACCTCCAGTGATCAGCAGGATGCACACCATTACCTCCAGAATGTAAACTAAGACCTAAAGTGACCTGCAGAATGCACACTATGACCGCCAGTGACCTGCAGGATGCACACTACGAGTTACAATGACCTATAGGATGCACAATGTGACCTCCAGAATGTAAACTATGACCTCCAGTGACCTGCAGAATGCACATCTGGACCACCTGTGACCTGCAGGATGCACACTATGACTGCCAGTGACCAGCAGGATGCACACTATGACTGCCAGTGACCAGCAGGATGCACACCATTACCTCCAAAATGTAAACTAAGACCTCCAGTGACCTGCAGAATGCACACTATCACCGCCAGTGACCTGCAGGATGCGCACTATGACCTCCAATGACCCACATGATGCACACTATGACCACCTGTGACCTGCAGGATGCACACCATTAGCTCCAGAATGTAAACTATGACCTCTAATGACCTGCAGGATGCACACTATGACCTCCAATGACCACCAGTGACCTGCACGATGCGCACTATGACCTCCAGTGACCTGCAGGATGCGCACTATGACCACCAGTGACCTGCAGGATGCGCACTATGACCACCAGTGACCTGCAGGATGCGCACTATGACCACCAGTGACCTGCAGGATGCGCACTATGACCACCAGTGACCTGCAGGATGCGCACTATGACCTCCAGTGACCTGCAGGATGCGCACTATGACCACCAGTGACCTGCAGGATGCGCACTATGACCACCAGTGACCTGCAGGATGCGCACTATGACCTCCAGTGACCTGCAGGATGTGCACTATGACCTCCAGTGAAGTGCAGGATGCGCACTATGACCACCAGTGACCTGCAGGATGCGCACTATGACCTCCAGTGACCTGCAGGGTGCACACTATGACCTCCAGTGACCTGCAGGGTGCACACTATGACCTCCAGTGACCTGCAGGATGTGCACTATGACCTCCAGTGACCTGCAGGATGCGCACTATGACCACCAGTGACCTGCAGGATGCGCACTATGACCACCAGTGACCTGCAGGATGCGCACTATGACCTCCAGTGACCTGCAGGATGCGCACTATGACCTAGTGACTGTCACAAAACACAGTACATCGTTCGGTCACCGACAGGGTGCTCCCTACGGCCTCCGGTCACTGACAGGGTGCTCAGTACAACCTCCACTGCCCATTACAGAAGTAATACATGACCCCTGCTATGATAGGGCCCCTGGAAGGAGAGGATTATGGGGCCCCTGCCCCCTATGCATCACTCAGGATGTGACATTATGGGAAGAAACCCACACAGAGACAACAGAAAAAAAAAAAAAAAAACACCCCTACTCATAGACATGGTACCTGCCTCCCTCCACCCAGGTCACAGGGGGACGAGCCCATATGCGGCCTGTAACAGGGGGGGTGGTATTTATGAAGCGATCCCCTTTCCCATCACCCTCTCTCCGGGCACAGTGAGGGGGACAGCGGGCACTCACCCGTCTTCTCATGGTCGTAGCCCACCACTATGAAGTAATCTGCCAGCCTTGCCATGGCCGCCCGCAGTCCTCCCTTCCCACGGAAAATCTCAGCATCTTGGCCGCAGCGGCTCGGCCATGTTTGAGGCGCACAGAGACCCCCCCGAATACTACGCATGCGCGGGGCTAGCCGGACTACTGAGCGTGCGCGAGGGGAAACGGACTAGTGGGCGGGGTTTCGCACACTTTGCAGCTTGTATATTGCTGCAATGTGACAGATGTGCTTCTGAGATTGTCTGTTATCACTGATCACTTCTAAAATGTTATATATATATATAGTGTTAGTAAATTATATTACTATTATTATGATACATTGTATAATTTTATATACATATATATATGTTTAGGTTTTATATACAGTATATGTATATCAATTATTATATTTCTATATTATAAAAGTTACATTATATAACTGCATTCATCTTTTCATTATCATTATTTGATATATATATATATATATACATACATGCATACATATATAATTGTATATCTTTATTATTATATCTTATATTTTTATTGTCAAAAAATCCCAAAGATGATGCAAGTGGGAATAACCGATTCAACTGCCAGCTTTATATTGAAAACTAACAGGGATGTTTACAAAAGAACTTCAGAAAAAAATGACTGAGAAGGATTACAGCCACTGCCAGGTTTTTTTGTCTATGCCGTCACTCATTTCTGCACTTTGGACAACTGTATGTAATACTGCTTTACCCCCGGTTCACATCTATGTGGCCGTGCACCCCCCAGCCACAGCTTGCCTCTGCACCCCCCAGCCACAGCTCAGCTCTGCATCCCCTGGTATCCGCTCTCCCTGGACCCTGCATTCACTATATCTGCTCTCCCCGGACCCTGCATTCACTATATCCGGTCTCCCTGGACCCTGCATTCACTAAATCTGGTCTCCCCGGACCCTGCATTCACTATATCTGGTCCCCCCAGACCCTGCATTCACTATATCTGCTCTCCCCGGACCCTGCATTCACTATATCCGGTCTCCCCAAACCCGGCATTCACTATATCTGGTCTCCCCAAACCCGGCATTCACTATATCTGGTCTCCCCCCGAACCCTGCATTCACTATATCTGGTCTCCCCATATCCTGCATTCATTATATCCGCTCTCCCCGGACCCTGCATTCACTATATCCGTTCTCCCCGAACCCGGCATTCACTATATCTGGTCTCCCCGCACCCTGCATTCACTATATTCTGTCTCCCCAAACCCGGCATTCATTATATCCAGTCTCTCCAGACACTGCATTCACTATACCTGGTCTCCCCGGACCCTGCATTCACTATATCTGGTCTCCCCGGACCCTGCATTTACTATATCTGGTCTTCCTGGACCCTGCATTCACTATATCTGCTCTCCCCGGACCCCGCATTCACTATATCCGCTCTCCACAGACCCCGCATTCACTATATTTGCTCTCCCCGGACCCTGCATTCACTATATCCGCTCTCCCCGGACCCTGCATTCACTATATCCACTCTCCCCAGACCCTGCATTCACTATATCTGGTCTCCCGGACCCTGCATTCACTATATCCGCTCTCCCCGGACCCTGCATTCACTATATCCGCTCTCCCCGGACCCTGCGTTCACTATATCCGGTCTCACTGGACCTGCATTCACTATATCCGCTCTCCCCGGACCCTGCATTCACTATATCCGCTCTCCCCGGACCCCGCATTTACTATATCCGGTCTCCCCGGACCCTGCATTCACTATATCCGGTCTCACTGGACCCTGCATTCACTATATCCGCTCTCCCCGGACCCTGTATTCACTATATCCGCTCTCCCCGGACCCTGCATTCACTATATCTGGTCTCCCCGTACCCTGCATTCACTATATCCGCTCTCCCCGGACCCTGCATTCACTATATCCGGTCTCCCCGGACCCTGCATTCACTAAATCTGGTCTCCCCGGACCCTGCATTCACTATATCTGGTCTCCCACAGTACACAGAAGATGGAAATGCAATTTTTTTAGTAAATATAAACTTCTAAATACCTTTTCTCATCAGCAGTATATAGCAGTCTTGTGACTTACATCAGCTGAGCACTGGTTAAAGCTTGCAGGAGGAGTTTTCATTTTTCTCTCGGAGGATGCTGAACCCCTGACCTCTTTCTGGACAGTGCTGATTGGCCCTGTGCTTATCATATGCACTCTCCCAAGAAAAAAAAACTCTTTAGCAATACACACCAAACTGTGCAGAATTCCTACGGTTCAGTCTGTCTTATCGGGAGATAAGACGTGGATATTTGAACAAGAGGATGATCAGAGAAGTCAGGATCAAATGGCATTTTTACACAATGTGGTGGATTAACTCCTTAGGTTCCACAGTGAGTATAACAAGCATGCTTTACTGCATCTACAGACTGATTGTACTGTTGGGGGTTTAGTAACACTTTAATATTGCAATGTACTTCCATTCACTGCCTTTGCCTTCAATGTCCTATGTACAGACCTCAGTCTCCTCTCCTCTAATGATCAGCCTTCATCGATGTAATGTCGTAGCAGAGGTCAGCATTTACCTGATTGTGTCACCTCCAAGCAGGAATCTCAGTCCAGGAAGTACATGGAGGCCCTGATTGATGCCTGAGCAAAGATGGCTCTGTCCTTATGGAGAGAACAGCAGATAAAGGCATTCTCGGGGGGGGGGGGGGGGATGGGGGGGATACTGTGAGAGGTAATAAATGATACACTGACACATTACATAAGATAAAAAAAAAGTTTCTTGTTAGTTACACTTTAAGTATAATCTTTATTTATACTATTTACAGCATCCTGGTTCCCTATTCACCTGTCTTCTCTTTTCTACATCGTTCATGCTGCTTGCACCAATCTTTGAGCTCCCGGTCCAAATGAAAAGTAAAATTTGGACATACACATCCTTCCCTGGATAGTGAGACCAGGATCAGGATGACCGCCAAGGATTTGGAAGCAGTTTCCAGGAAATGACCCCAATTATACTAAGACCCCATGTACATGGGACGTTTCTGAATGATGGAAACTGACTGCTGGAAAACGTAGGTTAAAAAATGTCTGTTTAGCCGCGTTTGCATAACGCGTTTATGAAGCATTTTTTAAAGATAAGCACAGGAGAACCTCCCAAATGCCCAGAATGCACTGAAAAGTGGTCAATTATTAACTATTTCAGACTGTTTTAGAGAAATACAGAGAGTAGAAGCAGAGACAGCAGTATGTGTTGAGATTAGCTTAGGTGTGAGTTGCTCATTAACATTTCTTTTGTTTCCAAGGGTGGGAAAGGTGTCTGGTGGAGGGAGTCATTAAGGCCACCTGGTAGGGGGTCTTCATGAGGAATTTGAGGTGTGAATGGTCATTAACATATCTTTTGTTTCCAAGGGTGGGAGAGATCTGAGGTGTGAATGGTCATTAACATATCTTTTGTTTCCAAGGGTGGGAGAGATCTGAGGTGTGAATGGTCATTAACATATCTTTTGTTTCCAAGGGTGGGAGAGGTCTGAGGTGTGAATGGTCATTAACATCTATTTTGTTTTCAAGGGTGGGAGAGGTCTGAGGTGTGAAGGTGTGAATTGGTCATTACAATGTGTGACAAGCTTGGTAGGAACATCCTGTGTTCAGTGTTTTGTCCATCTGAGTACCTTGAAATCTCTTTGCATGCTTTTTTCATGAAAAGGCTCTGGACAGCATTGGGAACTGGAAAAGTTAAAACAAAAATTCACACGCAAACGCTTTCCCGCGTTTAGACGCGTTTACAAGCGTTTTGCATTTGAGACGCTGATAAAATTGACATCTGAACGCAAGTTTGTTGCTTTCAAAAAAACAACTGTAAACTCAACTGCCCTTAACGCTGTTCCATACCAGAGCACAGAACGGGGTACAAATACTACAACTCGAAGACGAGGATCCCCAGTTATGAAATGACTTAAAACTCTAACGTTCCAAGAAAACAATTGAATTTCGATAACACCCAAATACTGGTGTGTCTACTTTTTTCCACATTGTATAAGTCCCGGTCTTGGCATCGCCATGACGGTTTTATAAATTGCATCAGGACGCTGGCTGATCATCCCGAAATTTGTCAAACTTGTATCAGCACGGCACAACTCTCTAAAGAGTTCCTCCACCCAGCTGGAGCTCTCCTGTTTTCAGCTAAATTGTCTATGAAAGTGGGTGCAAGTCGTCACTTGACACTTTGCTTGTCCTTACTGGCTTCTTGTTGCTGGTAGTCCCAGGTGACTGGTAAATGTGCAGGGTGTGTGAGGAGAGTATAGTATGGGTTGGGTAGTAATGTGTTAAACTGAGCAGCTCAAACTGTTATATTCTATGACTCATGCAGGTTTGTATAGAGTGACCTTTCTCAACCTTTTTACCCCAGAGGAACCCTTGAATTTAGGGAAACCCTGCTAAAAATGATGATACCTGCAGGCAACCGCACAGAACGAGGCATGTTCAGCGAGCTGTGGAAAGTTTTAAACAAATGAATCAAAAAAATGTATAAACAAGAATATCAGACACCCGGGGCAGATTATCTCTACACTCACCAGCTGTAAACAACACATTTATTTTCAGTAATAATCTTCAGATGAAATGAAAAATAACAGAAAAGAAAGCAGTGAAATGCTTTGTGTCCAATAAGGTAAGTGGTCAGTGTAGGTGGGGGATCAATTCACCAATGAGGACCGCTCAACGATCCCCGAGGAATATGGGGAGAAAGTTGGGGTGAGGTGCAGTCCTGCTTGGAAAGTTTCAAGAAGGAAGACAATAACTTTCCTTTCTTTTCCTTTTATTTTAGTTTCCTTGTCTTTGTCTTGCGCTTTCTTTTTCTTTCCCTTTCATTTTCCTTGCCTTTTGCTTTCCTTTTTCTCCCCTTTCTTTTTCCCTTCCTTTTCCTTGCCTTTTCATATCATTTCCTTTTCTTTTCCTTGCCTGTCCCTTTAATTTTTCCTGCCTTTTACTTTCCCTTTCCTTTCCCTGACTTTTCCTTTCCTTTTGTTATCAGTTCCTTTTCTTTTCTTTTCTTTTCTTTTCCTTTCCTTTCCCTTTCATTTTCCTTGCCTTTTAATTTCCTTTTCATTCTCCCTTGTTTTCCTTTCCCTGACTTTTCCTTCCCTTTCCTTTCCTTTCCTTTCCTTTCCTTGCCTTATCCTTTCCTTTTACTTTCATTTTCCTTTCCTTATCAGTTCATATTCTTTTCTTTGCCCTTTCCTTTTCTTGCCTTTACTTATCAGTTCCTTTTCTTTTCCTTGCCCTTTCCTTTAATTTTCCTTGCCTTTTACTTTCCTTTTTCTCCCCTTTCTTTTTCCCTTCCTTTTCCTTGCTTTTTCATATCATTTCCTTTTCTTTTCCTTGCCTGTCCCTTTAATTTTTCCTGCCTTTTACTTTCCCTTACCTTTCCCTGACTTTTCCTTTCCTTTCCTTGCCTTTCCCTTTCATTTCCCTTGCCTTTTACTTTTCTTTTCCTTCTCTTTTGTTTTCCTTTCCCTGACTTTTCGACTGTAAACAAAGATGTGTACATGGACACATAGGAAAACATTAGGGAGAGTTCAGGGTCTGCTGAAAAAAAAAACGCTGAACAGCTCCTAAACGTCAGTTTAGCAGCTACAGTGTACATGAGCCCTTACTTTCTCTTTCCTTTCCTTGCTTTTCCCTTTCATTTTCCTTGCCTTTTACTTTCCTTTTCCTTCCCTTTTTTTTCCTTTCCTTTTCCTTGCCTTTTACTTCCTTTACCTTTCCCTGACTCTTCATTTTCCTGATGTTTCTTTTCACCTTTCTTCTTTTTTTTTCCTTATCTTTTCCTTCTCCTTTTCATTCCTTTCCTTTTCCTTGACTTTTGCCTTTCCTTGCCTTTCCCTACCTCATTTTATTTTCTTTTTTCATTTTCTTTCCTTTTTCTTTTCCTTTGCCTCCTCTTTCTGTATTTGTTTTTTTTCCTTTCCTTTCCCATTTCCTTTCCTTTTTTTTTGGTTCCTATTCCTTTTCTTTTTCTTTTCCATTCCTTTCATTTTTCCTTTCTTTTTCATTCCTTTACATTCCTTTCCTTTTCCTTGCCTTTTTCCTTTCTTCGCCTTTCCCTACCTCATTTTTTTTTTATTTTTCATTTTATTTTTCTTTCCTTTGCTTCCTCTTTCTGAGTTTGTTTTTCCTTTCCTTTGTTATTCTTTTCTTTCCCATTTCCTTTCCCTTTTTTTTATTCCTATTCCTTTTTGTTTTTCCTTTCTTTTCCATTCCTTTAATTTTTCCTTTCCTTTTCATTCTTTTACATTCCTTTCCTTTTCCTTGCCTTTTTCCTGTCTTCGCCTTTCCCTACCTCATTTTTTTTATTTTTCATTTTTATTTTTCTCTTTCCTTTGCTTCCTCTTTCTGCATTTGTTTTTCCTTTCTTTTGTTGTTCTTTTCTGTCCCATTTTCCTTTTCTTTTTTCTTTGGTTCCTATTCCTTTTCTTTTTCCTTTCTTTTCCCACTCCTTTCATTTTTCCTTTCTTTTTCCTTCCTTTCATTTTCCTTTCTTTTTCATTCCTTTACATTCCTTTCCTTTTCCTTGCCTTTCTCCTTTCCTCGTCTTTCCCTACCTCATTTTTTTTCTTTTTTTCATTTTCTTTATCTCTTTCCATTTTCTTTTCCTTTGCTTCCTCTTTCTGCATTTGTTTTTCCTTTCCTTTGTTATTCTTTCCTTTCCTTTGTTTTGGTTCCTTGCCTTTTTCCTTTCCTCGCCTTTCCCTACCTAATTTTTTTTATTTTTCATTTTCTTTTTCTCTTTCCTTTTCTTCCTCTTTTTGCATTTGTTCTTCCTTTCCTTTGTTATTTTTTTCTTTCCCGCTTTCCTTTCCTTTTTTTGGTTCATATTCCTTTTCTTTTTTCTTTCTTTTCCGATCCTTTCATCTTTCCTTTCTTTTTCATTCCTTTACTCTTCTTTTCTTCTTTTGTTGCTTTTCTAAAAAAAAAAAAGATAATGGATACTGTTGTTGTATATTGTGATATGTCAGGAAGGTATTCATGCAGACTTGTAAAGTTACTGACAGGTCCACTTTACAGGATAAACAGTGGCACTCTTTCCTCTTGATAGGATCACTCTTACATCACACTCACCTTTCCCCTAAATAGGCAGCTAAAGAGAAGTGCGGTCATATACTGTACATTCCTCATTGGATTCCTGGTTCACTTAGATTGCCCTCCACATGTTTCGATTATATTGGGGTTGTATTGTTTATATCAGATTTCTGTCATTTCCGCACTGTTCCATTCTTCATATCTGCCTCTTGACAGGTTTTCCTGATTTCTTGCTGCTCCCTTGCTGGAAAGCTAAACATTTTAGATGGAATTCCAATGTTTAGCTAGCCATTAAAACCAGTGGTGTAGTTAGGTTTCATGCTGCCGTAGGCAACACAAAAATTGGCTCTCCCCATTCACCAAAAACACCCCAGTCCCCCCCCCACCCAAGAGGGCCTTCTATTACCACCGCCCCCTATACACTGGCAACCCCACCCCGACAAGAGATAAGACACTCACCTTCACAGCTCCAGACATCCCCGGGAATGAGAGTCAGGCTCTGCATACACCATCAAGCAGCCCGCAGATCTCAGATCCCACCTGGTTCCCATGCTGCTTGTGTCCCTTCTTCATTTCCTTCTTTCGGGGGACAGCGCTGCCTCCCTGAAAAATGCTGCTGCCCCCCTGAAAAATGCCGCCCCAGGCAAATGCCATGTTTGCCTTGTGGTAAATACACCCCTGATTAAAACTAAACCCCAGCTTTCCCTTCAGTCTCGCACAGTTGCACCGGCTCCTCTCCTGGACTGAAGCGGCTTACTCCGATTTCACTGCACACTGTGAGCTTCTCACAATGTGCGTTAGAAGCTGCAGCAAGTCAGATGGAGGCCATCTCATTTCCAGGCTGGAGGATGTCCAGCATCATCTCAGGGGCGGACTGACAACTCATGGGGCCCCCCCGGGCAAAAGGGGATCATGGGGCCCCTGTGTCCTTGCCCACACTCAAAGCACACCCAAAAAAAGCCTATAAAAGGTACCAGGGGCATTTCATGGGGCCCACTACTGACTCCAAGCCCTCGGGCAGTGCCCAAGTGCTCGAATGGTCAGTCCGCCCCTGCATCATCTAGTCCTTTCCTCTCCAGCCTGACTGTCCCTGGCCAGCCTCTTTCAATCATTGGATGTCATTTCTTTCATTCATGGAGGCACAGCATCACATGTGAACAAATACAGTCTGCCTAGGAACATCCACTCCAGACCATCCAAGGCATTTTGACATTTACATAAACCCAAGAGCCAACCAGGGGCGGACTGACAACTCATGGGGCCCCCGGGCAATAGGGGATCATGGGGCCCCTGTGTCCTTGCCCAAACTAAAAAAAGCCTATGAAAAAGGTACCAGGGGCATCTCATGGGGCCCCCTACTGACCCCGGGCCCTCGGGCAGTGCCCGAGTTTCCAAATGGTCAGTCCGCCCCTGGAGCCAACCCACTACTTGCATTAGGACTCAGCGCTCTTGAGAGGCGTACTGGGGCAGGGTGCTGTGATTTATTTTTATCAGGAATCTATGTACAGCACCCTGCTCACCCCTCCCACTAGCCTTGATCTGCTTGCATTGCATAGAGAAGCACAGGGACCCAGTAATAACATCACAGAGTCCACGATAAACTATGTAATGAAAATGGAAAGGTTTTCTTTCAAAATTTAATTAGCTTGTTGATGGTAGGAGGGTGAGTGAAACCAGGCAAAGTATATATAGATTAAGCTTCAGCTTGAATTGATAAAAAGGGGACAATGTTGCACCAACATAAAGTGCAGAGGGCGACATTAG